ATGAGCAACGTCTACAACCTTACAAATGGCAGAAGGCCGTAAACCTTGATTGTCAAGAGTATCTATCAACCTTTTTGTCGATTGAGCTCGATGAAGTGTCCGATGTGAGTAGTGCTTCTTTACCCGAGTTGGGGTGGTTAATGGATGACCATTATGCTTACTGTTTAACTTTCGGACCACCCATTTTTCAGTGCTTCTATCAAGTCCAATAACCATCCTTGCGTTGCATCCACATCTTGTATCGAACTTTCGAATTACATTCCGACCATCTTCTCTTTTATCTTTTAAAGATTTAAAGCCTTCTTTGTCACATACAAATATTCTAGATAGGATTGCATCTTTCTTTCTCGACCAAGCTGTGTGACCCTTGCGAACACCAAATCCCTTAAGTCTGGCGTATGCATTGTAGAAATTATAAGCTTCCTCATGAGTAGAGAACTCCATTCCGATATATGGATCAACGCTGTTTAAATTATCTTCACCATTTTCAACGCCCATAAGCTCATCACCATTCTCCTCATGCTCGGATGCCTATAAAAATAGAGAAACAAAACTCATGCTAAAAGACAACTATTTTGGTATATGTCATTAGTTAGTAGTACACTATAAACAATAAGATATTATCACCTGAGGGGGAAGCCATGTTGTAGATAGTAGATCATGGTCCTGGCTTTTATCTTCTTCCATTGTTGCCTCACGTGAGAGAATTGGTGGAGTGTCTATACAAGCTATCAAATTATCACATATAAGAAGTTCAAAATCGCTCAAAAAACGTCATCAAGTTGATCTTTCAATTTCACTAAACAATTTCTAAACGATAGTTTAAACCAAATTTAAAGTTTATATCCAATTTAACAATACATGGCAAAAATAGCTCTAAATTATCCGGCTCGTAGCCATAGAGTGAGTGCTGCAAACCAAGTAATGTATGAGCTGAAATTAAAAGGAAGAAGATAGATCCAAGGAATATGCATGAGGGAAGATAGAACCATCATGAAATCCACTAGATCTAACAGGAACGCCAACTAGAACTAACATGCCTCGTAATAGAACTAACATCATCTCCATTAGAGCTAACATGCATCCCGGTAGCATTAACATGCATTTCAGTTAAAACTAACACGTTAATTTAGAGCTAGCTAACATGCATTTCAGTTAGAACTAACACGTTAATTTAGACCTGATGCCTTACCTCGGTGGAGGCGAGCTCGACAGCGGCGAAGTGCGATGAGCCGGCGGCAACACTGAGCGGGGACGGCAAGCGCAGGCTGCGGCGATTTCGTGAGGTGGAGAGGAGGGGGGAGGTGATGGCGAGGATGACGTCGAGGGCTTGATCGATCTCCGGAGGCGGCGATGAACCTGAGGGCTGAGCTCGAATGCCGTCGGAGGCGTGGCTGATGACGAGGGGTGAGCTCGATGGCGAGGACGAGTAGACGGCGATGACCCGGCGGCGACGCTCAGCTGCGGTGATCTCGGGCGCTGGAGAGGAGGAGGGGAGGTGATGGCTAGGGCAAGGGGACGGCGGCGACGCTGATCGGGGACGTCGAGACACAGGCCGAGCTTGGGCGCCGGCGCTTTCGGGCGGTGGTGAGGGGGAGGAGGTCGGTGATGGCGACCGAATGCGCGATCTTGAGCCGGCGGCGACGCTGATCGGGGGCGGCGAGCTCCGGCGGCGATTTCGGGCGCTGGAGAGGAGGAGGCGGGAGGTGATGGCGCGATCTGGGCGGGAGAGATGAGAGAGGGGTAGGGATTTTGGGGGGATGGGATTTTCAACGAAGGGCTCAGATCTCTCTGAGGGGTTTTGAATAAACGGCCCAGATCGCGCATCCTCAGATGACAGCCTACGGAGTCACCGCAGATTCACTTGACCC